AGCGCACGGTTTCCATCGGCAAGCAAGCTAACCAGTCTTCCCAGAAGCCGGATGTTAGTTCCGGCTTCACTGGGGTGTGGGCCTTGCAGGTATGCAATGTCTCGACCCCGGCTTCACTGGGGTGTGGGCCTTGCAGGTATGCAATGTCTCGACCCCTCACAGGAGCAGTTCTCTTAGTTCACCACTGTTTATTCAGTGCCTAGCGAGGGTGTTGTGTTGAATTTGGTGTCAGGTACAATGATCTTCCTCTGGGAAGCTATAAAGGGAAAATAAGATAGAAACATAAATAACTAATAAAAGGCAAAATGTAAGTGGGGAGAGTGCTAAGGGTGTTTGAATAGTCTGCCAGAGGTTTAGCAGGGATAATTGAAATTTTTTATACTGGTGCTGAGAGTACAATTGTGAAAAAACTTCCTGGATATAGTTAAATGGTTTATGATGTCTTAAAACTTAAAAATTATGTCTTAAACATAAAATTGTCTTAGTTATTTTTATTTGCTTTTTCAAGTTTTTTTTTTAGAAGAAAGATAATCTGTTAATAGTATTGCAAGTTTACTTGTCATGAATAAGCTTATTTTATTTTATTTTATTTTATATTTTATTTTATGTATTGTATTGTATTGTATTGTATTATATTGTATTGTATTGTATTGTATTGTATTTAGACAGAGTCTCACTTTGTTGCCCAGGCTAGAGTGAGTGTCGTGGCGTCAGCCTAGCTCACAGCAACCTCAAACTCCTGGGCTCAAGCAATCCTGCTGCCTCAGCCTCCCAAGTAGCTGGGACTACAGGCATGTGCCACCATGCCCGGCTAATATTTTCTATATATATTAGTTGGCCAATTAATTTCTTTCTATTTATAATAGAGACGGGGTCTTGCTCTTGCTCAGGCTGGTTTCGAACTCCTGACCTCGAGCAATCTGCCTGCCTCAGCCTCCCAGAGTGCTAGGATTACAGGTGTGAGCCACCACGCCCGGCTATGAATAAGTTTAGATTACTGAAATGTTCTGTGTTTTAGGAGCTTAGATTAAGTATGCAAGAATGCAGAAGCTTAAATAATATGCTGTATCTTTACTACTTTAAAATTGATACTTTAAGTTAATGTTATATTACACTATAGGAAATTTAATTGCTTGATTAAATTTTATTGCTTTTTATCACCTTAGGTCTTAGTTCCTACTGTGTCCATGGTTGGAAAGCATTTGGGAGCAAGAAAGGATCATCCTGGCTTAAAGGTTAAAGAAAATGATGAAAATTGTGGTCCCACTACTACGGTTTTTGTCGGCAATATTTCTGAGAAAGCCTCAGACATGCTTATAAGACAGCTCCTAGCGGTAAGTTAAACTGTTCTCATTAAAAAAAATTTTATTGTAAATTTCAAACTTAAGGAAAAGCAGAAAGAGGACTCTGAATGATTATTTTTCCCAACTTTTTATTTGAAAAATTTCAATCCTGTAAAAAAGGTAAAAGAATGAGTAGTACAGTGAATACACTTGTATTTACCCAGACTCATCAATGAACATATTTTAGTACATTTACCTTATCTCTATGTGCACACGAATACCATATACTTATTTTTGCTGAATAATTTGAGAGTAAGTTGCAACATGACATTTCACCTCTGAATCTCTTGTGTTTTTGTTAAGATTAAGGACATTCTCCTACATAGTCAAAATGCCATTATTGGCCGGGCACGGTGGCTCACGCCTGTAATCCTAGCACTCTGGGAGGCCGAGGCGGGTGGATCGCTCAAGGTCAGGAGTTCGAAACCAGCCTGAGTGAGACCCCATCTCTACTAAAAATAGAAAGAAACTAATTGACCAACTAAAACTATATACAAAAAATTAGCTGGGCATGGTGGTGCATGCCTGTAGTCCCAGCTACTCGGGAGGCTGAGGCAGGAGGATTGCTTGAGCCCAGAGATTAAGGTTGCTGTGAGCTAGGCTGACGTCACAGCACTCACTCTAGCCTGGGCAACAAAGTGAAACTCTGTCTCAGAAAAAAAAAAAAAAATGCCATTATCACACTTAAGAAATTTAAGGCTGATACAATATTGTTAATATATGTGTATTAATAATGGCTGTAATAGGTATTTTTTGGTTTTGATTTATGATCCAGTGAAGGAATTTTACATTTTGTCATGTTGCTGCTTTTATTTTTATTTTTTTTGAGACATAGTCTCACTCTGTTGCCTGGGCTAGAGTGCCGTGGCATCAGCCTAGCTCACAGCAACCTCAAACTCCTGGGCTCAAGTGATCCTGCTGCCTCAGCCTCCCCAGTAGCTGAGACTACAGGCATGCGCCACCATGCCTGGTTAATTTTTTTTTTCTATATATATTAGTTGGCCAATTAATTTCTTTCTATTTTTTGGTCAGAGGGGGTCTTGCTCTTGCTCAGGCTGGTTTTGAACTCCTGATCTTGAGGAATCCAACCGCCTCAGCCTCCCAGAGAGCTAGGTGCCTCTTTATTTATTTATTTTTTGAGACACAGGCTCACTTTGTTGCCCAGGCTTGAGTGAGTGCTGTGGCGTCAGCCTAGCTCACAGCAACCTCAATCTCCTGGGCTCAAGTGATCCTTCTGCCTCAGCCTCCCGATTAGCTGGAACCACAGGCATGCACCACCATGCCCGGCTAATTTTTTTCTATATATATTAGTTGGCCAATTAATTTCTTTCTATTTATAGTAGAGACGGGGTCTTGTTCTTGCTCAGGCTGGTTTTGAACTCCTGACCTCGGGCAGTCAGCCCGCCTCAGCCTCCCAGAGTGCTAGGATTACAGGCGTGAGCCACCGCGCCCAGGCTAGGCACCTCTTTAGACAGTTGCTTTTTTTTTTTTTCTCGCTTTGTTGTCCAGGCTAGAGTGAGTGCCGTGGCGTCAGCCTAGCTCACAGCAACCTCAAACTCCTGGGCTCGAGTGATCCTACTGCCTCAGCCTCCCAGGTAGCTGGGACTACAGGCATGCGCCACCATGCCCGGCTAATTTTTTATATATATATCAGTTGGCCAATTAAGTTCTTTCTAAGTAGAGACGGGGTCTCGCTCTTGCTCAGGCTGGTTTTGAACTCCTGACCTTGAGCAATCCGCCCGCCTTGGCCTCCCAAGAGCTAGGATTACAGGCGTGAGCCACAGCGCCCGGCCCTTAGACAGTTGCTTTTTAAGGGGTGAGGGGAGTCTCATTCTGTGTTCCCTGGGTAGAGTGCAGTGTTGTGATTATAGTAGCCTCAAACTCCTGGGCTCAAACAATCCTCCTGCCTCAGCCTCCTTAGTAGCTGGGGCTACAGGCATACGCCACCACACCCAGCTAATTTTTCAATTTTTTGTAGAGACGGTGTTTTGCTCTTGGTTCAGGCTGGTCTCAAACTCCTGGGCTCAGGTAGTCCTCCCACCTTGGCCTTCAGAGTGTTAGCTAGGATTATAGGGGTGAGCCACCACACCTGGCCAGTTGCTTTAGTATGGAACATTTCCTTGCCTTTTTTGTTTATTTGCTAGTTTTGTGTTTGTCTTCTATTACATTGGCATTTTTTTTGTTTGAGACAGGGTCTCGCTTTGTTGCCCAGGCTAGGGTGAGTGCTGTGGCGTCAGCATAGCTCATAGCAACCTCAGTCTCCTGAGCTCAAGCAATCCTCCTGCCTCAGCCTCCCGAGTAGGTGGTACTACAGGCATGCGCCACCATACCCCACTAGTTTTTTCTATATATATATTAGTTGGCCAATTAATTTCTTTCTATTTATAGTAGAGACAGGATCTTGCTCTTGCTGAGGCTGGTTTCGAACTCCTGATCTCGAGCTATCCGCCGGCCTCAGCCTCCCAGAGAGCTAGGATTACAGGCGTGAGCCACCGGCCCGTCCTTACATTGGCATTTTTGAAGAGTCCAAATCTTTTGCAGAATGTCTCTCCCAATTTGTATTTGACTGTTTGCTCATAGTTAGATTCTGAGTAAACATTTTTTGTAAGAATGTTTCATTGGTGAGGCATTCTGCTCAGTGTATGTAGCATAGCAAGAGACACATGGTATTTCTTAGTTCTATTTTTGGTGATGTTAAATTACTTGTTTAAGATGGTCAGATCTCTCCATAGTAAGAGTACCTTTCCTTCTTATAAATAATAAGTAATCCCTGGGTTAATATTTTAAGACTGCAGGAGTCCTTTCTCCCAGTAACATTTAAAACAATTTTAGCATCTAATGATGATTCACTGATTCATTTTAAAGTTTTTATTCTGAGCAGGAATAATAATAAATTCTTTAGATTTGGTAGTTATTGATTTTCCTTTTTTGTCTTGGCTTTAAATATTTTATCTTGGTGATACATGCACATTGTTAAGTGAAATAATGTGGCATAATTTTATAATGAAAAAATAACAGTTCCTGTACTCCCTCCTTAATTGCCACTGTTTCTTGGAGAAGTTACTTTTAAATCTTTTCCTTCTTTGTTTTATAAGTAATGTACATGATAGTCATTTGCTTTTTGTGAATTATGAGATTTGCATTAAATGTTTAGAAAATAAAGACCCACAAAACCCAGCTTTGTCAAACTTTAATATTTTATGATAGTAGCTTCATATTTTTTCCAACAAAATAAAACTCTAATTAAAAGCCGTAATTCCCTTCTTTCTCTTCCAAGACATAATCTACCATCCTATATTTGGTGTTTAGCATTGCCATGCATATTTTTATCTTTCATTACATATTATATATTCATAAGAATATATAAGTTTTAATTTTGTATTCCTCCACAGTTTCCTTTTTTCCACCTAGCATATATGTGGCTCTAGTTTGTTTATTTTTCGCTGTTGAATACTTTGTGTTATAGAAATACACCATAAATTCTTAATTTTCTCTTGATGTTCCTATGCATTATTTCCAGTTTTCCATATTATGTTTTACTTTATTATTATTTTTTCATGATCATTCATTTATTTCACAATTGACTGTCATTACATTAGGCTGGGAAAGGAAGGAGTCACGCACCACTGTTATTCCGTTGTCTTTCAGACAGAATCAGAATCCAGGTTCTAATTGTCTGTAATACTGGGATCAGAGTCAAAAGAAGTTGACTGCTTGCTGGTGGGTGTTGGGAGCTGCTTGGGAGAAGGGAACGAAATAGGCATGCAGCTGACCATGGAGGGTTCATGTTCTGGGGTTTCCATCTGGGTACCTGAGGATCCTTCTTGATTAACATGGGTGATGGGGTGGCGGATTGTACCACAGTTCCTCAAGGTGAACAAGGATGGTGTAGACCTGGGGCTGGTACTTGGGAATTGAAAGGATGACCCGTCTGCACAGAGTACCTGCAGAGATGTTTTTGGGTCTATCACAGAATCCTTTTAGGGCCTCTCCACAGGGCCCGGGCCAGGGTTAACTCCTTGATTTCTTCTGGTTGGCCTCATGAGTAGTCCAGTATGAATGCTGCACTGTTGGAGACATTGTTGCCTGCTCTTCCTTATGGCACTCTGTTTAGATGCTGAGCAATTGCTTTAGACAGTTCATGATTCTTCCTCCTCAACTTGTCACATTCAAGAAATTCATACTTTTTAAGGAAACTTCTGAGATCTTCTTGGCATCCCAAGTTTTAATTAACTGGTTGGATCGTTTTCTGATTTCTTGGTTTCATTTTTCTCCTATACTTCTGGGAGGTTTCTAGTAATTTTTTTCTGAAGTCGAATTCCATTTTTATTCCTGAGCTTTCTCCTGAGATTCTTTTTACTGCAGCCACAGGGCCCAATGCAGGGTCTGCAGAGAACTAGCACTTAGTTTATGCCAAGCGTCCTCAAACTACAGCCTGTGGGCCACATGTGGCCTGCCAAGGACATTTATCCGGTCCGCAGGGGGGTTTTGCCCCAGCTGCCTGTCCTGCTTAGCAGCCAACTTAGGCCCACAGTGCGCATGTGTGGAATGTGTGCCACACTCTGGAACGGCCCTCCAATGGTTTGAGGGATAGTGAACTGGCCCACTGTTTAAAAAGTTGGGGGACCCTTGGTACACTAATAGAATCTAGGAGAGTCAGAAGGTGCTTAAATGTAGAAATATGTTTGCTCCTTTCTGCTTTTGGCAGTCTTGTTTTATTGTATTCTTGCTGCTGATAACATGTTTTTCTAGGTGCATGTGAAAAAAATTTCATATATTCTCTTAGGAGTAGAATTCCTGATTCGTAGGGCATGCTTATCTTCAGCTTTACAAGATAATGCCAATATTTTGCAAAGTGGTCATACCAGTTTATACTTACTGCAGGAGTGTCTAAGTTTCCATTCTTATGTATCTTTGTTGTTGTCGTTTTTTTTTTTTTTTTTTTTTTTTTAGACAGTCTCACTTTGTTGCCCAGGCCAGAGTGAGTGCCATGGTGTCAGCCTAGCTCACAGCAACCTCAAACTCTCCTGGGCTCAGGCGATCCTCCTGCCTCAGCCTCCTGAGTAGCTGGGACTTCAGGCATGCGTCACCATGCCCGGCTAATTTTTTCTATATATATTGGTTGGCCAATTAATTTCTTTCTATTTATAGTAGAGACAGGGTTTCACTCTTGCTCAGCCTGGTTTCGAACTCCTGACCTTGAGCAATCCGCCCGCCTCGGCCTCCCAGAGAGCTAGGATTACAGGCGTGAGCTACCGAGCCCGGCCTTGTTGTTGTTTTGAGACAGTCTCACTCTGTTGCCTGGGCTGTGGAGTCAGCCTAACTCACAACAACCTCAAACTCCTGGGCTTAAGCAATCCTGCCTCAGCCTCCCAAGTAGCTGGGACTACAGGCACCATGCCTGACTAATTTTTTCTATATATTTTTAGTTGTCCACGTAATTTCTTTCTATTTTTAGTAGAGACAGGGTCTCACTGTTGTTCAGGCTGGTCTTGAACTCCTGACCTCTAGCGATACACCCACCTTGGCCTCCCAGAGTGCTAGGATTACAGGCATGAGCCACTGTGCCCCTGGCCCTTTTGTTGGATGTTTTGGATCCCATGTCTTGCCCTTTTGCTGACATAGAGTAGCTTGCTGTGTATGTGGCTATAATATATCTGTTATATGTACGTTATATATAAGGGTATGTGGTTGGTAAATTTTTAGAATGTAAACTTAATGTGCTTATTGTTCTGTCTCATGTGATCAGTAGTTTACCCTGATAGGGAATTCTATGTTAAAGCTTATTTTCCTCACATTGAGAGCATTGCCTCATTGTGTCGTATCATCTAATGATGGTTTTAAGAAGTCCAGTGGCATTCTGAACTTCTTTGTATGTGACGTGTTATTCTCTAGAATGTCTCTCCCAGTTTGGATTTCACTAATTAGAAGTTTTAATTCCTAATTGTGTGAAATTTCACCATTGATTGTTGGGTTTTAAAATTTTTCTTACATCATTGTGCCAGTCACTTATTTGGTGGACCATTTTGTTCTGGATACTTGTATTCTCATTTCCGGAGAAATTTTTTGACTATTATTTGGTAATTCTCTTTACTGTTTTTCTTCTTCAGGAACTCTTTTTATTTGGATGTTGAATTTCCTGAATTGACCTAAGTCCCTTTTCATTCTTATTTTCCAATTTAGTATTTTATTTTATTTTTTGAGACAGATTCTTGCTCTATTGTCTGGGCTAGAGTGCCATGACGTCAGCCTAGATCACAGCAACCTCAAACTCCTGCTCTCGAGGGATCCTCCTGCCTCAGCCTCCCAAGTAGCTGGGACTACAGGTGTTAGCCACCATGCTTGGCTAATTTTTTGTTTCTATTTTTAGTTGGGCTAATTTTTTCTATTTTTAGTAGAGACGGGGGTCTCACTCTTGCTCAGGCTGGTCTTGAACTCCCGACCTCAAGTGGCTAATAGAAAAATTAGCCAGGTGTGGTGGTGCATGCCTGTAGTCCCAGCTACTTGGAAGGCTGAGACAGGAAGATCGCTATAGCCCCGGGACTTTGAGGTTGCTGTGAGCTAGGCTGATGCCATAGCACTCTAGCCCAGGTAACAGAGTGAGACTCTGTCTCAAAAAACAATAAAAAAAGATGATAATAATAATGCTGTAATGCTTTTAATTTATTGGAAGATAGGGATTTTCTACAAATGAAGAATCAGTAGGAATTTACATTTTTCTTACAATGATTTGTTACATATTTCTTTCATGAAATAAGTTTGTGGGAATTGGGAGAATTTTAACTGAGTTACTGATGTGATCTTATTTTTCTTTTGATAACATTGGTACCAAATAATTTTTCTTTTTTTTTACTTCTATGCTTTTTTATTTGCCCCCTAGTGGGAATATAATTGTGCTCTTATTTTGATTAAAAATTATTTTAGTTTGTTAAATCTAATGATTTTTCCCCTCCAGAAATGTGGTTTGGTTTTGAGCTGGAAGAGAGTACAAGGTGCTTCTGGAAAACTTCAAGGTAGGTAATGTTTTCCTTATTTGTTGATGACTTTAACCTGCATGCTTAAATCACTTTGAATGATTTACTTTCATTTTCCTTTACAACTCTTTCCTCAGCACTCTTTACCTTTTTTACTGTAATAGGATTAAAAGGCAGCTGAGAAGATATTGGCTGAGAGTTGAGATTAGAAGGTGGGAAAGTGTAACAGGAAGGTGAAAGGAGAGGAAGAAATTAAAATTCCTTGGAGTAACTGGTTTCTTATACTTGAAAAAGTCCTTTTTGTCTTAGCAGTACTGTATGATCAAGATGGAACAATTAGAACTTAGGAAGAGAGTAGGAGAAAAGATAATCAGATGGCCTGTTACTCTTGAATGCAAACTGTACTTTTCATACTTGTTGGTAGAAATGCCTGTTTGATATAAGTTTTTAAACTTTATTATTGAAAAATTCATACATAAAATTGGAGTAGTGTGATGAATTCCCATTTATTCACCACCTAGGTGTATCAGCTCATGGCCAATTGTATTTCATCTGTACCCCATCCATTTCTTCCTCTCTATGTTATTTTAAAGCAAACCTTGAGCACCAGATGATTTTGTGTATAAATATTTTAGTTTGTATTTCTAAAATATAAGAGCTTTAAAAAATCATATCCAAAATGCATATATGGACTAAGAAAATTAACTGTTTTTGCTATCATTAACTATCTAATCAATGTTCAAATGTCCGTTTTTCTCAAATGTCAATTTTTTTTTTTTTTTTTTTTGAAACAGAGTTTCACTTTGTTGCCCAGGCTAGAGTGAGTGCCATGGCGTCAGCCTGGCTCACAGCAACCTCAATCTCCGGGGCTCAGCGATCCTCCTGCCTCAGCCTCCTGAGTAGCTGGGACTACAGGCATGCGCCACCATGCCCGGCTAATTTTTTGTATATATATTTTTAGTTGGTCAATTAATTTATTTCTATTTTTGGTAGAGACGGGGTCTCGCTCAGGCTGGTTTCGAACTCCTGACCTTGAGCAATCCGCCCGCCTCGGCCTCCCAAAGTGCTAGGATTACAGGCGTGAGCCACCACGCCCGGCCCTTTTTTTTTTTTTTTTTGAGACAGAGTCTAACTCTGTTGTCCAGGCTAGAGTGCCATGGTGTCAACCTAGCTCGCAGCAACCTCAAACTCCTGGGCTCAAGTGATCCTCCTGCCTCAGCCTCCTGAGTAGCTGGGACTACAGGCATATGCCACCATGCCTGGCTAATTTTTTATATATATATACAATTATATATATGTTTATTTATTTTTTAGTTGTCCAGCTAATTTCTTTCTATTTTTTTTAGTAGAGATGGTGTCTTGCTCTTGCTCAGGCTGGTCTAGAACTCCTGAGCTCAAATGATCCTCCTGCCTCAGCCTCCTAGAGTGCTAGGATTACAGGCATGAGCCACCACTTCTGGCCTCAATTTTTAAAAATAGTTTATTTTTAAAATGTTGGTTTTTAAAAATAGTTGATTTGATTCAGGATCTGTATTAGGTCCACATATTACAATTAGTTTTAAATCTCTTTCAGTATTTTAAATTATTCTGTCTCATTTCCCTTGCAATTTATTTGTTGAAGAAACTGGATCATTTACTTAGCATTTCTTTAGTCTGGTTTGGCGGTTGCAGCTCGAGTAGTATACTTTGCCATGAATCTATCCTCTGTTACCTGTAAACTGGTCAGTGGTTGTATCTTGATGTGTGCTACTTTTTGATGTTTTTCTTTGCAAGGATAGTATAAAGATAGTGTCCTTTTCATTGGGACTTATGTCAGATTGTCTTTTTTGGTTTTTTTTTTTCTTTTTAGTGATAGCATTGTTTGTCAGCGCCTAGGTTCATTTATTTATTAAGGGGTTACAAAATGTAATAGTCTCTGTGGAAGATTCTATCCTTGCTTCACTGAAAAACAAGTCTTCTTCATTTATTTAGTAGAATACTTCTGTAAGGAGAAACTTATTCCATCTACTATTTGGTTATTCAGAGGTGTAATTTACATATGAAAGACACGGTAAATGCTTTGGCTCTTTTTATTTTTCAAAAGAATGAGCTGGTGTCCTCAGAGTTTTCTAGAAGCCTGTACTTTTTTTTTTTCTTTTTCCTGAGACAGAAGAGTCAGGCTAAAGTGCAGCGGTGTCATCATAACTCGCTGCAACCTCCCTGGACTCAAGTGATCCAGCCTCCCTAGTGACTGGAACTACAGGTGTACGCCCCCATGCCTGGCTAATTTTTTCTATATTTTGTAGAGGCGGGGTGTTCTTGCTCACGCTGCTCTCCTGAGCTCCAATGATCCTTCTACCTTGGCCTCCTGGAGGGCTGGCATTATAGATGTGAGCTACTTTGCCCATCCTTTTTATTTTCCTTTTAAATCATTTGGAACTTGTGAATCGAAACATTTAATGTTATTGTATTTAATATGGATTTATTGTAGTTTTTACTTATGTTAAAGCTTTTAAGTTATCTGCCTTTGCAAGTAGTTTTGACATGATCCTAATTGCCTTTGATAGTTTCCTTGTTACCTGATATAACAAAATGTTCCGAGTTCATTTAGTATTTTTTTAGCTTCAGGCATGGAGTCAGCCAATTCTCCTTGGAACTTTGGTTCCTTTTAGTGGGAAATTATTTTGAAAATTATAATCTCTGCATTAGGTGCACTCATTGTGCAACAGTGGTTTGGTGTTTGGTTTTAGGTTTTCCCATTGCACACTAAATCAGAATCAGGACCAGAAGGTTTTAATTTAACCTCTTCTGTCATGTGTCTCCCACATTGCGAATCCTAGTTTACAAGGACACTGGGGATGGATAGAATATTAAGTAATTACTGACTTGCCTTATCTCACACATAGGACAGTTTCAGACTAGTATCACCAATACTGTCATTAACAATATGATGATTGAAAGTTACTTTTTTTTTTTTTATTTTTTATTTTATTTTTTTTTAAATTCCCACAGTACTTTGGCATGGAAAAAGTTACTTTTTTAGAGGGCAGGTCTTTTTGACACTAATATCACTCACAATAGTTTTCTTTCTGTGGTTTTGTGATTAGCTGTATACATATTTAGATTCATTTGTTTAATTTAAAATGTTTTGATTGCTTTTTAATTTTATTTATTATTTATTTTTTGCTTTACAATCCATCAGATCAAATAATTTTTTTTTTAAAGAGACAATTTCTCACTATGTTTCTCAGGCTGGCTTCAAACTCCTGGGCTCAAGCCATCCTGCTTCATCCTCCCCAGTAGCTGGGACTATAGGCACTAGCTACCACACATGTCTTAATTTTGTTTTAATAACCCTTTTTGGTCTAAGGTTATGTTAATAGTGAGATTGACTAGTTATAAAATGAAATATAGAAAAAAGGTAACTAGAATAAAAGATCACTAATTTTGTGATTTAACATCTCAGAATTAAAAAGTGTTTTTTAGGTTCAAGCAATCTGTTCTTATTTGTGACTGTTAGGATGTCTGGATGGAATCAATTCATGAAGTAATTAAGAATCATTTTCGGTGGGGAGTAGTGGCTCATGCCTGTAATCCTAGCACTGAGAAGTGGGAGGATTGATTGCTTAAGCTTAGGAGTTGGAGACCAGCCTGAACACAAGAGCAAAAGGCCCTGTCTCTACAAAAAATAGAAAAATCTGCCAAGTGTCTTCATGTCCGCTGGTAGTCCCAGCTACTCGGGAGGCTGAGGCAGGAGGATTGCTTGAACCCAGGAGTTGGAGGCTGCAGTGAGCTATGATGATGGCACTGCACTTTAGTTGGGCGATAGAAGGAGACTCTGTTTCCATAAATAAAAAAACAATCATCTTAATCATGAAATTCTAATAAGTAGCAATTTGCCTAATTTGAATTTTTCTTCTTTTCCCCTGTTACTGTTTTTCTATCTTTTTTCTTTTTATTTTGGTTGTTTGAACGTGCTAAAAGTGAAATGGTTATCAAAGGGAATTGAAGGACAAGGGTGGACTGACAACTTGAGTAATTCTTACATGTGGTCGGTCTCTGGTGATTTTACTTTTCCATAATTTTTAATTTTTCCTATTGCATTGATATCTCACTAATTCTTTACATCCATTGCTAGCCTTCGGATTCTGTGAGTATAAGGAGCCTGAATCTACCCTCCGTGCACTCAGATTGTTGCATGATCTGCAGATTGGAGAGAAAAAGCTACTTGTTAAAGTTGATGCAAAGACAAAGGCACAGCTGGATGAATGGAAAGCAAAGAAGAAAGCTTCTAATGGGGTATGTTTTCTATAGTGTTTTTTTTTTTTAGGCCAGCTGTGCTATTTCAATGTAAATACTTTTCATAAATGAATCTAATATGGGGCTTCACAAGATCATCATCATAATATGTGTTTGTGGCTTAAATGCAAGAGGGTATTTTATAGTTTGTAGTTATTTTAAGTCTTTTGTCTACCCACAGTGGGTGGATGACTGTTGATTTGCTTGTTCCAGGTTGGGATGAAGGTAGTAAGGGAGGCTGGACAAGGTTAACTTGCCAGAGAAAACACTGGTACAGACTATTCCAAACAGAGCTTATTCATTAAGGCAGCTTTGTAAGTAAGTACAAAATATTTCAACCTACACAATTTTTATTAGTTGCCCTCTCTTTTAGAAGTACCCAGATTCTGAGATGAATGAAAATAAGTTTTATTTCCTTTCCTCAGCTAGATGGCTTTATTCAGGATATATTAAGTAAAGCAAAAGCAAAGGAAAATTTTGAATGTTGTGTTGTAATGTGTATATTATCATCCCCTCTCAACAAAGCAAATATAGCTAAAACTTAATTATTTATTTTCTCATTTCCTCTTCCTAGTTCCTTTTTGGAACCTTAAACTGAACAACTTCAAGATAGATTTATTATCGTCTTCCACTCCCAAAAGAAAAAAAATTCACAGCCTTTTGCTCTCATCAAAGTTTCATTATCTTTCAAAATAGAAATAGCTTTCTTGTCCCCCTTCTCTTTTATAAACACATTATATGGTCTTTGTAAAGGAAACAAAAAAACCTTAAAAATTAAGCAAGTATAAATGAGAAATTAAATGCCACCCATAATCCCATCATCATAAGTAACCATTGTAGACATTTTGATTGTTATGTTCTTCCGGAAGTTTTCTCTGTGTGAATGAATACAGTTTCAATTGGAATATATGAATTTGTTTTCCTTTCATAAAAACAGGATTGAATTTTAAGTATTGTTTTATAAATAGCTTTTTTCCCCACTTAATTCTGTCTTTCCTTGGACTTTTACTATTTCTTTATCTGATTTCCCTTTATTTAGTTTAATCTGATAGTTACAGTACTGCCTATGTTTCTAAAACATAAGTAAAATTTTGTCAGATTCTTGCTAATTATGTCAAGTCCATCTTTAATGGTTTTGGATTTCTTAAAGAATAAAGCCCATATTTTTAGCATGGCACTCAAGGTTTGCTCCAGTCCACCTTTTTAGCTTTCTCTTTCCCTCCCTCTCCATGTCCCAGTAACCCTGCAAACTCTCTTTTTGCTTTGCTGGCATCTTCATATCTTTGTTGCCCATCTAAGCTTCCTGTTAGAATTCTGTCCACAGTTACAATTAATATGTTTTGATTCATACAGCCTTCATTAACCCTACTCTCAATTCCTCTCTCCCATATAAATTTGCAAGTGTATGTTAGTCTTTTTTGTAGCATATATTGTTTATCTTTCTTTCTCTCACAACCTTTTATAAACTTTCTCATTCCCATAACCTCCTTCACCCCCAATCTCTGATTACAAGTAGAAAAGGCAATAGGTTCATGGAGTCTGTTTGTTCTTGTACCTCTGCAGCGCACAGGACAGTGTCTTAATAAAATGTAATTTCTGTGGAATATAAATTGTATCTCATATGAGTAGTGTTGCCTGTCACATCACTAAAACCTTAAGAAAAGAGAATGTTTGCAACAAGTATTTTCAGATTTTCCTTGCTGTGATAACTGAGCACTTATTTGAAAGAGTCTTCAGAATTACCTAGTCTTCTAGGATTCACTGTTTTATTGGATTTAATGATTGCTTTGTGAGATGGTATTTAATTTGTATCATCTGCAAATGGTATGCTAAAAAACTCTGAAAATGAAGTGAATCACTATATATTTATATAAATAAGGAAGTACACAATTGTATGTCTTTGAATTTTATTTGTAATCATCAGCCAGAGTAAACACACTTTAAATCTGTTTATATCTTTCTTCAGGAAAAACCACCTTCAATAAAAACATACAGAACAATTATTTCAGATAAAATGAAATCAAAACAATTAACAGATATCACATATATTTTATTGTTCCAAATGTTATATGTATATTTTCTAGGTGTACTTTACATTGTGCCCAAACGTACTTGAAGTCACAGGATAAATATGGTATATTTTCTTTCCTAGAATGTCAATTTTACTCAACAATATAGATTTAAAAATTGACAATTTTATCTGATATAAATTTTTTCAATTAACTTAAGCAAATATAACTATACAGTAGGGGTAGATTGCAGATTTGCTATGAAATTTCAAGATAAAATATGAGAGAGTACTTGTTCATTCTCCTTTACTGTCAATTAGTTGGGGAAATTTAGAATGCTGTAATTTACTTAGGTAGATGATAGGAGAAAGAAACATTTTGAACCTTATGTTACTTTATCCAGACATTTTCCTGACTTCCAAGCAGAAGAGGAAACACAATTAGTTGTATAGTTCTCACTGACTGAGAGAAATGTGAGTTTGTCTAGGAGAGTAGTTTTTATGATACGGAATTTTAAGAGGACTCGTGTGTCTTGTTATATGACTTGATGAAAAATTTTATTTAAATTTTGCAGAATTTGTAGAAGCAACTACAAATTACTTTTCTTTCTACTTCTTATTGACCTTTCCTAAAAGCATTTCATTTGAGATAGCTATGCTATAATCTAGTCCATGTCCTATTGCTTTATGGCTGTCTAGCAATAATAGCATAGGAGAAGAGAAATCTGCATGATTGTCACAAGTTTTTTTTTTTTTTTAATTGTTTAGATTTAAAATTTTTAACTTTTTTTTCCTTTTTAACTCTTATTTGTAAAGTGTAAACAAGTTGTAGTTTTTAACCATACATTCAAGAATGAACTCTGATGCGTGTTGGAAATACAGATATTTTCTAGAAAGAGCATTGTAAATACAGATAGTTTCAGAAAGAGCATTACATTGTAATAGAAGACAGATGCTCCAGGTGAACATCTTTTTTTTTTTTTGAGACAGAGTCTCGCTTTGTTGTCCAGGCTAGAGTGAGTGCCGTGGCGTCAGCCTAGCTCATAGCAACCTCAAACTCCTGGGCTCGAGCGATCCTTCTGCCTCAGCCTCCCGAGTAGCTGGGACTACAGGCATGCGCCACCATGCCCGGCTAATTTTTTATATATATATCAGTTGGCCAATTAATTTCTTTCTATTTATAGTAGAGACGGGGTCTCGCTCTTGCTCAGGCTGGTTTTGAACTCCTGACCTTGAGCAATCCGCCCGCCTCGGCCTCGCAGAGAGCTAGGATTACAGGCGTGAGCCGCCACGCCCGGCCAGGTGAACATCTTTGCCTGGAAATATGTCTCATTGAGTCTACATTTTCTCAGAAGAAAGAGCTACTTTCTTAAGAGCTTGCTTAAGTTCTCAAAGAGGTTCTTGTTTTGGACTCTAGAAATCAATGTGCCAAAGAATGAGCCCAGAAGAGCTGTTTAACCTCACAATTACTAGCTTTACTATTGAACTTTTAATTCTTCTGAAAAGAGCCAAATAGGCAGGCCACATAAACATCTCAGATAATCAGTTGATTTCTATCAGCCACTTGTACAACTAAACCATTCACCTTTTGCTCTCCAGTATTACTAAATATGCTTTCTGAATTATAAGAGGAAACTGAAAATCAAGAAGTCATTTATGGTTGAGGAACCAGAGATGGAACTTTATTAGAAGAAACTTGGAAAGCATGTGGAATGGTCTCTTTAACCAAAAATAGCCTTTCCTTCAGAGACGTATCAGGTTATTTTTGTTTTTGTTACATTATCAATCATTTAAGAGATTTGGGCTAATAAGCTTTCCTTCTGAAAATGTAGATTATGGGGCAATTATTCATTTGAAAGGTGATGTTAATTAATTCATTCCAAATGCTTTTCTAATTTGGGTAAAATAGTCATATTGCTATTTAAATTGTGGTTTATAGTGGAGGCTAATAAACTTAGGGTCGCTATGGTTATTTTTTATGAGTAGGCCTTTGGAATTATAAGCCCACTTCTATCCCTGTGTTTAGAAAAGTATGGAGATAAGAGTGGCTCAGGGAAAAGAATTCAAAATGCAGGGGATATGCCAAAGAGACACTGAATGCTTTCTAATAAAGTATATTTTTATAATTTAGAATTAAGGTCTCAACAGTTGAGAGTTTGAGTTGAAATAGCCATTTGTGCCTCAGGATGTAAGTTTTCCGTTCAAGTTATTATTGGAAGGTTAACTCTTTTTCATTTTAAACCTTGGGGGAAGCAGGGTATCACTGAAGGAATTTTAGAGAGAGATGTATACATTAAAGACCTTATTGTGATATATTGTTGCTTTAACATAAGAAAGGACTATATCAGTGTAATTATGCTTTACTATATTGTTGGTAAATAATTACAGTAGTTCAGTTACATCTTGGGTAAAGCATCTTGTTTTTATCTAAGATGTCAAGTAGAAAGTTGGTTACAAGAACTTTGGATGAAGAAGCAGGTTTGAGAAAGTAAGAAACTAATTTAGAGTGGTTATAATACCACATAATGCCTTATATTGAAGATACCTGTGTCGTAACCCTTCTCTTACCCTGTAGTGGAATTGCTTGAGGGCAGGTTGTCTCTTCTTTCAATTTTTAATTTTTTTTTATTTTTTTATTTTTTTTTTCTTTTTCTTTTCTATGGTTCTTTTAAACCTATCAGTTTTTAATTTTATCTCTTCTAGGGCAGTGTCTTTCACACATTATATTCTTAATAAGAATTTTGAGCACATCAACTTAAGAAATCTTGTTGAATATGCATCCATTGGAGACGGCTTTCAGAATACTGATGCTTGATATATTGTTAGGTAGCCATAGGCATTAAACTCACCTTGAATAGAGTTGCATGCATTATGACTTAGAGCGTGGCATTTATTTACAAGAGCGTGGCTTTTGTATGTATTTTTAAGAATGTGCACAGTATATGTTTACCAAGTAAATTGATAAATATTTTGGGATATGCACAAGAATAGCATTACATTAGAAGCCAGTAATTTTTTTTCTCCACAAAGACAGAGTTAACAATCTAGACTTCTTCTCTTAAAGGACTATTATTCCCAGCTACTTGGGAGACAGAGATAGGAGAATCTCGCTTGAACCCAGGAGTTTGAATCCAGCCTAGGCAGCATAGCAAGACCTTGGTCTCCTAAAAAAAAAAGGATCAATAAAAAAGTCCCACAAATAATCAGTTACTTACCTGTGAGAAGTGTTATATGAATTTCCATGTTTATATGTGTTCTTTTTTTTTTTTTTTTTATTTTTAGCTGTGCACTACACTGCATATATGTGTTCTTATTTTTTTATGTTAGATGCATAACTCATGGAGTGGGAGACCTATACAGTATTAGATTTGATTCCTTAGTGTATTAAGTGTATGGTTTTGAAAGTGGTATTCCTGCATTACAAGAACTCGTAGAAACCAATGGGGCAAAAAATAAGCTATCATTTCAGCTCCTAACCTCTCTGATTCTTGCATTTTTGGTGTATATATATATCTACTTAGTGTTTTTCTTATTTCTTTTGTTTAACCTACATATATACTTTTGCTTATTCTATATGTTGGCTATCATAGCATACTTAAAATTGTATTTTGCTTTTATTACACGACTAAATTTTCAACTGTTTAATGTCTTTGCAAGAATGAATTATTAATATAGTTAGTAGTTATCATTAGTTTGCTATTATTGAGCAAGACAATCTGAAAAATTGTGAAAGCTTTGCAGATATGTTGTTTAGTATGCTAGTCCTGTGATTTAATGTTTTTATATCTGGTTAGGAGAACCAGGATTTTAGTTTTGAAGGGAAGGCAGAAAGAAAAAGAAATGAAAAATGTGCTAGTACCTGAGGAAAAAACAAAGTAAAACAAATGAAGCTTAGTTTTGTGACATTAAGAACAAAGCCAGCTCTGCATTTAATAAGATTATGGAGATGTTTTGGAGAAAACGTGATTACTTAGTTTTTTAACTTATTTTAGAATGATTTTCATTTTCTTGTTTGATTTTTCTTCTCCCTGAATTTGCCATGTTTTTTAAGAATGCCAGGCCAGAAACTGTCACTAACGATGATGAAGAAGCCTTAGATGAAGAAACAAAGAGAAGAGATCAGATGATTAAAGGGGCCATTGAAGTTTTAATACGAGAATACTCCAGCGAGCTAAATGCCCCCTCACAGGAATCTGACTCTCATCCCAGGAAGAAGAAGAAGGAAAAGAAGGAGGACGTATGTGTTCTGACAACACAGTCATTTCTACACTTTATTTTTTATGATGTCACTCTCGTGCCTTGTTTTAACTTTTGAAATGAAAATAGACTAGGCTTTATAACAATATACAGGTTAAAAGAAAATGTTTGGTTCTGTTACACTCATTTCTTTTGGATACACTTAGAGAAATTATAAGGACTGTAATTTAAAAAACGTTGGAAGTGTTTTATATACCATGAAAAATTACTGTAAAATATATATTTATAGAGAAATATATATACACAGCCCTCCTTGTGTGGCTTCCACATCTGTAGAGTCAACCAACTTGGACTTCAGAAATATTTAGGGGGAAAAAAGTAAAGTACAGCAATAGAAAATAACACAAATAAAAATTGACATATAACAGCTATTTACATTACATTTGGTTGTATCAGGTATTATTAAGCAATCTAGAGATGATTTAAAATATATGGAATGATGTGCATAGGTTATGCTATTTTATTAATATATAAAGGACTGGACATACATGGATTTTGATATCTTTGGGGAAGGGTCCTGGAACGAATCCCCCATGGATACCAAGGGATGATTGTATGTGTGTATACAGGTAGATACACGCACACACACGCACGCGCGCACTCATGGTGTGTATAGAATCCTAGTTTGACTGTGTTTTACCAACAAACTTACTAATTTTAGACCAAAATGTTCCTGTTTTGTATTTTGGAATGCTCTGGCATGGAGGTTTACACTTATTCATGGACTAAGTTTAAAAAAACAAAAAACTCAAAACCTTAAATAGTGATGAGATAGGAACTGATATTAAGGAGTAAAGTGTTGTTTTTTTGTTTTATTTTTAACATGACATATTTAGCCTTATATTACTTCCTAATTATGGTGGTTCTGTCTCTAAGCCAGAAACCAGGTCTCATTCACTGAAGATTTCCACCATTCTTTAATCTTTAGTTTCCTTTCCTTTTGAAACCATGTCTTAATTCCTCCATGTACAGTAATGGTATCAAACAATAAACTGGAGGACTCTGAAAGAGGAGCACAAGATGAAACAATCCTCCTCAGTAAATTGAATGCCACCTTCTTCTTCAGACTAAGCTAATTGATATGATAGTAGGGAGTCCAGGTTGATAGAAAATATTTGATTTTCTTACACCCATTGCCTTTTGATAAACTTAGAGAAATTATGGGGAGTGCTCTTTAAAAATATTGGATTTATTGAATGGATTGTGTAGGTGAGGCAAAAGTGCTATAAAGAAATTATATTATGATTATCAAGGGGTAGTGACTGTTCATATTTTCTTATTTCAGGGATTTTTTAGGTCATTTTCAGTTTTCTTTATGGCTAAATACATTTTTATAACTTGGCTTATTCTTCCTCATTTGGTAATAAAAATTTGTCTAATGAGATGCAGTCTCTTAGAATTGGTAATTAGTAGAGTCATTAAGGTATAAGATGTAATGGAGGCTTGTAGAGTTTGTTTTTTCTTCCATTAAGAGAAAGGAGAAGAATAACTAGACATTGATTTGATTTGGGTTGGGAGTAGAGGATGAAAAATCTTGCCCTGTGGTATGAATTATAGGTAAATTTTGTTGGTATGATTGTTTCCTGTATCTTAGAGGAGCTAAGGGAGAAATTCCTTCTATTGCAATGCCCTACTTATTCCAGTGTTTATAAAGAGTGAAATCACATTTACTATCAAATAATTTGAAATCAAGAAAATATAACAGAAGTACTATATTGTTCTCAGTATAAATGTATAGGGCATTGCTTTGCAGAGTAGCGTGCGCGCTTTTTTTTTTTTTTTTTTTAATCTTTGTGGGTTTTTCCGCAGATTTTCCGCAGATTTCCAGTGGCCCCACTGATCCCTTATCCACTCATCACTAAGGTTCGTTTAAATTGTAGGCTTTGAACAGTACCTGTGTTTTACTGCTAATTGTTAGATTTGTTACTGTAGATATGTTTTGTTCTATTCTATTGTGTTCTTTATTTGTTTATTTATTTATTTAGTAAGACCTATGCAAAATATCTAACATTTAACTTTTTATGTTGATGTAGATCTTTTGTCATTCCCTCTTGTCCCCTCTTGTCTTTTAGGAGGATATAAATGCTATAGAAATGGAAGAAGACAAAAGAGACCTGATATCCCGAGAGATCAGCAAATTCAGAGACACACACAAGGTAGTATTCTTGTTTTTTCGCTTGATACCAATCTAGACTTTTTACAGAATCCAAAGCAAACAGACAAAAAATTCAACCTTTCATTAGAATATAATTTTAAATGCATTTTATAGGTTTAATTGATATTTAGATAGAAACAAAGAAACAGAAAACCAATACCATATTAAAGTGGTCCTTGACATATTGTGCTTAGTTTTTTCAATTACTGACTTACTCTGCAGTCATCTCACTTTAATATGAATAAAAGCTAACTTTATCTTTAGATTTCAACATAAACATCAAGTTCAGAGTTAAACTAGATTCAAGGGGGCAGCAGGATAACATACACTGTAGCGTATTTCTGGGGGCAGTTATTTAACTTAATCTTAGGAAAACCTTTTCTTTAGAGCTGAGATTAAAATTTAAGATTTATATTTGTATAGATTTAAGTTGAGTGGGGGAGATTTTTAAAAGTAGGTCAGTGGTTACCAGACTTACCAAATTTTAGATGCATGGAAGAACTGTAAATTCCCATAAAGCTAATCTATTCATTGACCCCCACCATTATGATAGAGATCATATGGTGACTAATGCAAGATGAAACTCTCAGCTTGGAAAGTAACAAGGAATAGGATGTAAGTATGAGCTTCTGTTTTTTATTATATTTATGGATGCCCCCTCAGAAAAATATGCAAAGGGGTAACTGGCTTGGTTATGGGTATTTGTGCATAGTAAATCCCACTCACGAGTTTTGCCTATTTAAAGCTTCTCTCAATGACAGTGCATCTGTGAATGTTTGCTGATGTTGAAGGTGATGCTTACAGATGGTGATATGCAAACATTGCATGAAGTGTATTTTGATGTTAGAGGTATAAAATGTTGCTGGTTCTTACTCATAGACTGAGAGATCTTAAATTCACTGAAATGTTGAGTGTTCCTTTTTTATTCAATCTTATTTTTTCTTATTGCTTTCAAAATCCCAAGATGACAATTATCGCCAATGAATCAATGCTGCTGAACACTTATTATCCAGATGCCCAGCCCTCGCTCATGTACACAGTGCTTTTTCAGAAATTAAATGTGTATGAAAGCACAAATGTGTAATTCTCCCAAAAGTAATTTTGAGCGTTGAAAAGGTGGTTTTTGGGAAGTAGTTTTAGTGGAGTACTTTTGGTTAGGTACAGTATTCAAATTCAGGGCTGAGTAAGCTTAAAAATGGTATATAGTTGTGTGTGTGGTTTACCCCGTTTTTATTTTTATTTGTTAAACCCTGTCATGTTATTGTTAAATTGTGAGGAAATCATGTTTTTAAAAACTAATTTAAAATATGTTTGCTTCAAAGTTTGAGAATTTGTCAGGCATTTCACTGCCTCAGTATTATTTCACTGGGGGGGGGGGAATGCTTTGAATTTCCAAAATGTATTTTAAAAATAAACAATCAAAGTGGAAACCAAAAACAGTTCTTTTTATTGGGTGGTGTGATTAAAGGGGATGTTTGAAACTCTAGTAACAGAAAATGAGCTCAGTGAACCTTTGCATGTTTTGGTATGAGTTTATTAAATAACCACGGACTGTCAGGGTATCAGCGTGGCAGGGGGCGTCCATTTACAGCACGGATGAGTCTGAAGAGAGAATAAGGTAAGATTTATGATTTTTTAATCTGTCCTTTCTTCTTCGTTACTTTCTTACATCTTTTTAGGCTCACTTCATTTTGTTTCTCCAGTCTTTCCTAAGAAAATATACATATATATGCTATATATATATAATTTACATACACATACATATATATATATCATATATAACCTTTTAGAAAAACATTTCGTATGGACTAGATTCACTCACTCTTTCATTTATTTAGAACCAAACTTTTGAAATGAGGTCTGAAACAAATTGTTATTTACATAGTGAATATAAGTAGCACAGTGAATAAGCAAGAGTAAAAAATTGAGGAATTCTTCAAATGAAATTAATATTGGAAGAGCTAAAATAATCTGTAAGTATGTATTATCTCAGAAATAAACAAATTTCTTTATAAGTGTATGACACTGAGGTAAGTTTTATGTAGTCTAGCCTCACATTACAATATGAATTTTTATGTTTCATTAGAACTGTTTCAGAAATGAGATTTTTACACCTTTAATAATAGCTTTAAGTTTCTGTCCTCTTTCAACCATTTCTTATTTCTTCCTTTCATAGTTTCAATGTATTCAGTATTGGCTTTGCCTGCATTCTACTCTGATACATACTGGCACAGCAGCTGAATATATTGACCTCTCATACATTAGCTTATCTTTTATAATCCTCTATCAGTTCTCTGATCCATGAGCAAGAGAAAAAGAGTATCTAACAGGTAAGATTGTTTTTTAAAGTTGTTTTAAATGCTTTACATGACTGAGAAAAGAAAAATGCACATTTTATTGTTGCAGTTTAAATTTCATTTCAGTGGAACTAAACATGGAACCAAAGAGATAAATGTGTTTTGTTTTTGTTTTGTTTTACCTGTTTGGGATATTTTTTTTTCTTAGTTTGCGTAGAAACCATGTGGTACACTGGTAATCTTGTCAGGGTACAAACTTGGTCTGACATTGTTATTTGGTTTATTTGTGAACCATGTACTTGCTCTTCCTCCCAGAAACATAGCTTGTAGGCAAGGTTAATCCAGTGTTGGCGATCCATGTCCTAGCACAGCATCTGTAAGTTAATACACAATCGTTCCTTCCAAGGATGGATTTATCATTGTAAATATATTTTATTGTCTTGCAGGCATAATGGGCATAAATATATTGCTTTTAAATATTTTTAATGAAAATGTTACAATTATTTACATTTTGCTTGAAGTGAGTGATTTTCGAACTTTTTGTATTTGGTGGGCTGTCCATCTTGTCATGGTGGGAGTAAATGTTTCCATACATCAGAAGGCAGATCTTGGCTGAATTCAGCTTGTGTTTATTTTGGAGGGTGGGCAAAGCAGAGGGCAGAGATTATGTAGTTGCATTGCAGTGACCTAACTGTCCTCCTTCACCTGCCCTTTAAAATCCTTAACTAGTAACCTTTAGGGAATGGGAAAATCTGAGGTTATAATTAGCATCAGTAGTATCCCTGATTTACAGAAATTCATCATGGGCAGGATTAAATTTTAGCCGTGTGATTATACTTACAGAAAGTATTATGAGCCATTACATTCCTCATGGTCATTTTAGTTATTACATAGTCATTGAGTGGTCAGCCACACTTGACACAATCTCCCAGCATCCAAGATTGGAGATTCCTGGTCTGTGTAGAGTATATGGTTTTGCACGAAATCTATCTAGTCTTGTGATTGATTCAGTTTAATTTGTCAAGTAAAAAAAAACCACAAGTATTTAATATTAAAGTACCAGTGGTTTGGTGTTTTTGTTCTCAGTATTGGGCATTGCGCCGGGAAAAATCTCAATACTGGAGCTACAGAGTTAACTCTAAAAGTACTTTTATTGGTTTCTAGAAACTGGAAGAAGAGAAAGGCAAAAAAGAAAAAGAAAGACAGGAAATTGAGAAAGAACGGAGAGAAAGAGAGAGGGAGCGTGAAAGGGAACGAGAAAGGCGAGAACGGGAACGAGAAAGGGAAAGAGAACGTGAACGAGAAAAGGAGAAGGAACGGGAGCGGGAACGAGAACGGGATAGGGACCGTGACCGGACAAAAGAGAGAGATCGAGATCGGGATCGAGAGAGAGATCGTGACCGGGATAGAGAAAGGAGCTCAGACCGTAATAAAGATCGGAGTCGATCAAGGTAAGGCTTTATAGAAGGTACTGTTTCCTTAAAGCTTTAATAGAACTACAAGGTAGTCACTCTGTAGGACTATTTACATTCATGTGATGAGAGAATTTCATTAGAGATAACAATGTCACACATGGATAACATTGGTGAAAGTAAAAATTTTCGACTCTGTCTGAGGCCAGTTTTTGCAGAAACCCAGGACACACCAGCTAACTGTCTACTCTGTTTTGGGCAGCTACAATTTCATGCTGTCTCTCTGGGTTTGTCAATATTTTTTCTAGTTGCTCTTTCGTTGAAGTCCTGTATACTGAGAAATCAGCTCCAGCACCACTCCTTTTAGCTCCTGGTATATTTATTTTGTCCTATAGCCTACTGGACTGCCATAACTTACCTTCCTGACTTTAAACTTATTATCTAGCTTCTGGTAAATTCACTTTTAATTTTTTAATTTATAATTTAAAAATTTTTGTTAACTATATTGAAATTTTTTTTTTTTTGAGACAGAGTCTCGCTTTGTTACCCTGGCTAGAGTGAGTGCCATGGCATCAGCCTAGCTCACAGCAACCTCAAACTCCTGGGCTCAAGCAATCCTTCTGCCTCAGCCTCCCGAATAGCTGGGACTACAGGCATGTACCACCATGCCCAGCTGATTTTTTCTATATATATTAGTTGGCCAATTAATTTCTTTCTATTTATAGTAGAGACGGGGTTTCGCTCTTGCTCAGGCTGTTTTCAAACTCCTGACCTCGAGCAATCCGCCTGCCTCAGCCTCCCAGAGTGCTAGGATTACAGGCGTGAGCCACTATGCCTGGCATATTGAATTCTTTTGATGAGTCATGTTATTCTTGAAGAATAAAGTAGAGCAAAAATGAATAAGGGAGTAGGGAAAAGAGAAGGAGGGAAGAGAGAAAAGCTCACCTGTTTTAAAGCAGGTTTTAAAATACGTATTACTGTGTTGCATTTTTCCACTTTAATTCACCATGTTGCTGAAACTGGAAGTTCAATCGTTAGTGGGCATTAAAATCCTTACCTTCCATCCTTCCCTGATATAGCCATTATTAAGAATTTAACATGGCCAGGCGTGGTTGCTCATGCCTGTTATCTAGTACTTTGGGAGGCTTAGGCAGGAAGATTGCTTGAGACCAGGAGTTTGAGAACAGCCTGGGCAACATAGTGAGACTTTGTCTATATAAAAACATCAATCTTTTAAAAGGTTCATGACATATGTATTCATAAAAAGTATATTGTATGTGTGTATCTAATTGGATCCCTGACATTATATATACACATGCACACATACACAGATGTTCTGCAGTTTGGCTTTATCACTCTGAATTAAATGTTTGGGAACTTTCAGTGTTCATACATATAGTTCTAATTTATCTGTGCAACATACCAAGATTCTCTTTTTCTCCATGTTTGCCAACCGTATATTCTTTGAATCTCTAACATTTAACATATTCATTAGTTCTTCATAATTCTTTTGGGAGTTAACAATTTTTTTTTTTTTTTTTTTTTACGACAGTCTCACTCTGTTGCTCAGGCTAGTCTGTAGTGGCATCATCATAACTCACTGCAGCCATCAATTCCTAGGCTCAAGCAATGTTCTTATCCTCCCAAGTAGCTGCGATTGCAGATGTATCCTACCATGCCCAGCTAATTTTTTGTAGAGAATAGGGTCTTGCTGTTGTCCCTATCAAGAGATCCTACCCCTTTGGCCTTTCCAGGTGCTAGGATTACAGTCATAAGCTATGGCACCCAGCCAATTTTTCTTTTTCTTTTTTTTTTTTTTTTTTTATTATTTCGGCATATTATGGGGGTACAGATTATAAGGTTTCAATAAATGCTCATTTTCCCCCCTCCCCCCACAAGTCTGAGTTTCCAGCATGTCCATCCTCCAGATGGTGCACATCTCACTCATTATATATGTATATACCCCTCCCCCCTCCCACCTGTCCAATACCCTAGAATTTTCCTTTTTTCTATTGTACACTGTTATCTGATTGACTAGTATTTAGTATTTCATTAATATTTCTTTAAATTAATCATTCAGTTGTTTTTCAGTACTTTATAATGTGTACTCGGGTTTTTGGTTTTGTTTTCTGACATAACAGTAAGCATTAACATTGACTTTAGAATGCAGTTCAGAATTTTGGGCTGGAATTAATACATCTTTCTGATGAACTTACAATTCTGTAGAAACTGAACGCTAAATTCTGGCTTGTGAGTTTGTGTATTATTTCAAAATGTATATTGTGGTCTTTTCCTTTGGTCTTTATGAGAAAACACAGTAGACTGAATTTTTAAATCTTTTGTTTACATAGAGAGAAGAGCAGAGATCGTGAAAGGGAACGGGAGCGGGAGAGAGAGCGAGAACGAGAACGAGAGCGAGAAAGAGAACGGGAGCGAGAGAGAGAACGAGAGAGGGAACGGGAACGAGAAAGGGAAAAAGACAAGAAACGGGACCGAGAAGAGGATGAAGAAGATGCATATGAACGAAGGAAACTTGAAAGAAAACTCCGAGAAAAAGAAGCTGCTTATCAAGAGGTAAATTGAGGAAATGCCTTTCTTCTTAAAGGTTGGAGTACTTAGTATGCTAGTTAAAATTTATAGCATCTTTTATGTAGATTTTTAAAGCTTTGAAAATTTCTTTTTTAGCGTCTTAAGAATTGGGAAATCAGAGAACGGAAGAAAACTCGGGAATATGAGAAAGAAGCTGAAAGAGAAGAAGAAAGAAGAAGAGAGATGGTAAGATTCTAGCTTAAATTAAGTGATTTTTTAAATAAAAATCACATCAGATCTATACTGTTAACTGTAAGTAACTATAATTGAAATGTACAAACATCTCAGTTTAAAGATAATTTTTGTGGATTTCAAGCAATCTTTAGAAAATTTCAGCATACCAAAATCTTTTTTCATGCTATTTTTCAAATTTTTACTGCAGATAAAATTATCTTTCTACATACCTTCAAAGTAAATTCATGATGAAGCAATATATAAACAGAATTTATAGAACATTTTTTATTAAGAATATGCAGTATTTGGCTGCGCACAGTGGTGCATGCCTGTAATCCTAGCACTCTGGGAGGCTGAGGCAAGAGGATTGCTTGAGGCCAGGAGTTCAAGACCAGCCTGAGCAAGAGTGAGACTCCATCTCCCCGAAAAACTAGCCAGGTGTAGTGGTGTGTACCTGTAGTCCCAGCTACTAGGAAGGCTGAGGAATTTGAGTTGCAGCCAGCCACTGCACTCTGGCCCAGATGACACAGTGAGAGTCTTCTCTCAAAAAGAAAAAAAAAAAAAAGAATCTGTAGTATTGAATTAGTACAGTGTTAATTTGCATGAAACAAATGGTGTGGTGAAAAGAACTGCTTTTATAAATCAAAATTATTGTTTGTATATATAACACTTATAGTTTATTCTTACACTATCACACTATCTTGTTTCTTTTTTCTTTTTCTTTTTTCGGTGGACATTGTCAAGTTATAGTCTCACTATATTGCCCAGCCTGGTCTCAAACTCATCCTCGACTCAAGTCATTCTCCCTCCTGAGCCTCCTGAGTAGCTGGGATTAGTGGCATGAGCTACCACACTCAGCTATTATTATTCTTTCTTTTAACTATATGATGATTATAAAATGAATTTTTCTTTTTGCATTTATAGTGTTGATAAACTGTAACAGTGAAGCAATTGGTATAAGTTGTTATAAAGTGAACTGACAAAAAGATAATTTATAGTATTTGCTTCAGCAGTATGTTCCATGTGTTCTGTTTTTGCCAGAATTTCATGGAAGTTTCTTTATCTCCAGTTTGGAGATTATTCTTCCAAAACCTTCACCGAAGTTAGGAATCTTCAAATAGCTTTTGAACATGAGACATAGTGGGAATTTTTGTAAGTAACAAAAAGGGTGCATGCAGCAACTAGATAGATAGCGTGATAGTGTTAGATTTCTGGATGTTAGATGCTCTAAAGTCATAGGATTATTTAAAATAATTTTAATTCTTAAAAAAATTAAAATGGTATTAAAGCTCCCATTTTTAGACTTTCTTTTTCAACCCTAAATTAGAAAATACAAAGAAAATAATATAATAATGTAATTATTTGAAGAAATGTCATCAACAATATTGTGGAATAAACTTCTTAAAATGGTATTGCTTTCTATGAGCAATTCTGAAACCTATCTTTCTTGAAAAAAAGTATTCGTATTAGTTATGTTTTTATTTGGAAGCTTCAAAAAATCTAGTTACACAAACACCAGCTCATGTTAAAGTAACACAAGTATATGAAGGAAAAAGTGAAGGTTTGTCCTGTATTCTCCAGAGTAGTTAAATTCTGTTTATATTTTAGTATGTACTTTGTGAGCCTTCCTTGATCATATTTTATAATCGAAGATATTTATAAATACTGTAATTGCTATTGCCACCTAACCATCTACTTTCACTCATTTGACAAATTTTGAGTGTACATTATATCATGTCCTCATGCTACTTACTGAATGTATAAGAATGACTATGTGATCCTAATATGAAAGCAAATGATGTGAAGTAGTCATAAAAGTTAGTTACTGTAAGGGATGTGTATGTATTTAGAGTGTGTTGAAGGTGTGTTCACAGTATATTAGGAGTACAGTGTAAGAATTTTACTTCTGTCTAGGGGGACAGGCTTGATCATGGATAGATGGTTAGGTTGGAGGAGTCCTTCAAGGAGAGGTAACATTTAAACTGGCTGAAATATATAAAAACTTTAACTGCATTTAGAAATCTACCTTCATCTGCTTTGAAAATAGGTATGATATATGTTAATATAATAATGGTTAGATATAATAGATACATACAGGTATGGATAAGAAAAAAATATATATATATTAGATGTAATCGTTATTACATACTGTTCTTCCTCTTGAAATTCAAAAAATAGAAGTTAGAGATTTATATAATTTCATGGTTTACTATCAATTTAAAAGTAGATAGCATTGCCTTTAGATTGATTCATGACCAGGATTTAAAATTTTTTTTTTTTTTTTTGAGACAGAGTTTCACTTTGTTGCCCAGGCTAGAGTGAGTGCCGTGGCGTCAGCCTAGCTCACAGCAGCCTCAAATTCCTGGGCTCAAGTGATCCTCCTGCCTCAGCCTCCTGAGTAGCTGGGACTACAGGCATGTGCCACCATGCCCGGCTAATTTTTTCCATATATATTAGTTGGCCAATTAATTTCTTTCTATTTATAGTAGAGACGGGGTCTCACTCTTGCTCAGGCTGGTTTTGAACTCCTGACCTCGAGCAATCCACCTGCCTCAGCCTCCCAGAGTGCTAGGGATTACAGGCGTGAGCCACCATGCCTGGCACAATTTAAATTTTTAACCTTGCGTTTCTTAAACTACTTGTAGCATTATCTACCTATAAAATGAAATTTTAAATATATCTGTTCAGGGGGCCACGGGCAATATATGTAACCTTAACACTTGTACCCCCATAATACTCTAAAATAAATAAATAAATAAAATAAAATAAATATATATCTGTCCATTTTATAAGGTAACCTCAGTTTTGTTTCATGGTGTGCTCAGGTTGCATTAGAAAATAATTATTATACTTTGAAGAGTTTCACTGTGTTGCCTAGGCTACAGTGCCATGGCATCATCCTAGCTCACAGCAGCCTCAAACTCATGGGCTCAAGCAATCCTCCTGCCTCAGCCTCCTTAGTAGCTGGGACTACAGATGTGTGCCACCATGCCCGGCTAATTAATATATATATATTATTTAAATATGTATATTATTAAATATATATAAGTATATATATTTATATTGATATATATATCTTTTACAGCTAATTTCTAATTTTCAATAGAGACAGGGTCTTGCTCTTTCTCAGACTGGTCTCGAACTCCTGAGCTCAGATGATCCGCCCGCCTTGGCCTCCCAGATTGCTAGGATTACAGGCATGAGCCACCACACCTGGCCTGATTTATACTTAATATATGAACTATGTGAGAATTATAAAGTTTTAAGTGGTATGAATAAGAAAAATCTGTTTCCAAGAAACCAGGACGAGGTAATTATTCATTTAGAAATGAATTTTATGTTTACTTTACATGTTTTGTCCTTTACTTCTTTAAAGGCCAAAGAAGCTAAAAGACTAAAAGAATTCTTAGAAGACTATGATGATGATAGAGATGATCCCAAATATTACAGGTAAAAAAGCCTTGTTTTATGAACTCATACTCTACTTTTTATCAGCTGCATTTTCCCTTGTCTACCTGAGTGCAAGTTCACTAAGTGGAATAAGAAAGCAAGAAATCTTCGCATTCTATCTTATGATCGCTTTTATAGCTTATATGTTCTTTTTTGTGGCGCATAGAGTTATCAGAAAAGTATCAACAATTCTATATATCTTTTTGTGTTGGGGGGGGTGATAGTGTCATATGAAAATATTACTTTTTTTTTCTTCTTATGTTTTTTTTTTTTTTTTTTTTTACAGAGTCTACCCTTGAGCAATGCAAGGGTTAGGGGTACTGACGCTAGAGTGAGTGCCGTGGCGTCAGCCTAGCTCACAGCAACCTCAAACTCCTGGGCTTGAGTGATCCTTCTGCCTCAGCCTCCCGAGTAGCTGGGACTACAGGCATGCGCCACCATGCCCGGCTAATTTTTTTTTTTTATATATATATCAGTTGGCCAATTAATTTCTTTCTATTTATAGTAGAGACGGGGTCTCGCTCTTGCTCAGGCTGGTTTTGAACTCCTGACCTTGAGCAATCCGCCCGCCTCGGCCTCCCAAGAGCTAGGATTACAGGCGTGAGCCACAGCGCCCGGCCATCTTCTTATGTTTTAAATAGGTCCGGTTTCATAGCAAATTATGACTAATTTTTATTACTATATAATGTCTAGAAAGTTTTTCTTCAGGTACTTCAAGAGTGGTATATAGCAGTCTAACCTCTCCTCCATCATCCCATTCCCATATAATTGTCTTATTTGAAGTGAGAGTTGACATTTGGTACGACTTTACGAATGAAGGGAGCATAATGATAATGAGAAGATTGTTTATCACATATTAATATGTAGAGAGCACACTTTCTTGGTTGTTCAGTAGATGTATATAGACCCTTAAGACAATTTTCAGTCTATTTCCATGCAGTCTTTTTTTTTTTTTTTTTTTTTTTTGAGACAGTCTTGCTCTGTCACTTAGGCTAGGGTGCCATGGCATCAGCCTAGCTCATAGCAACCTCAAACTCCTGGGCTCAAGCAATCTTCCTGCCTCAGCCTCCAAAGTGGCTGGGGCTACAGGCACATGCCACCATTCCTGGTTAAGTTTTTCTATTTTAGTAGAGACAGGATCTCAACTCTTGCTCAGATTGGTCTCGAACTCCTGACCTCAAGTGATTCTTCCACCTTGGCCTCCCAGAGTGCTAGGCTTACAGGTGTGAGCCATCATGTCCCACTTGCATCCAGCTCATAGTGTTGAAACCACGTGTTGTTGGAAACATCTGTAATAGTCAGTGATGTGTGTATTAAATGAAGCCTGTTATCATTTTGTTTTACAGGGGTAGTGCTCTTCAGAAAAGGTTGCGTGATAGAGAAAAGGAAATGGAAGCAGATGAACGAGACAGAAAGAGAGAGAAGGAAGAGCTTGAGGAAATTAGGCAACGCCTTCTGGCAGAAGGGCATCCAGATCCAGATGCAGAGCTCCAGAGGGTGAGATACCATAATATCCATCTGATTTTGTTTTAAGATTATCATGTCATGCCTGTAGTCCTAGCACTCTGGGAGGCTGAGGCGGGTGGATCGCTCAAGGTCAGGAGTTCGAAACTACCCTGAGCAAGTGTGAGACCCCGTCTCTACTAAAAATATGGAAAGAAAGTAATTGGCCAACTAAAAATATATATAAAAAATTAGCCGGGCATGGTGGCACATGCCTGTAGTCCCAGCTACTTGGGAGGCTGAGGCAATAGGATTGCTTGAGCCCAGGAGTTTGAGGTTGCTGTGAGCTAGGCTGACGCTAAGGCACTCACTCTATCCTGGGCAACAGAGTGAAGACTCTGTCTCTAAAAAAAAAAAAAAAGATTATCATGTCACCTTATAGCCAGCCTATGATAATAGTTTAATTTATAGTTAAAGGGAATGTACTTTATGCTCCATAGAACTTGCTATTTTGTGTAAGGTTATTAGTACTTTTCTTTTTTTAGAGCCAGGGTCTCCCTTTGTTGCCCAGGCTGGAGTGCAGGGGTGTCATCGTAGCCCACTTTAACTCGAACTCCTGGGCTCAGGTGATCCTCCTCCCTCAGCTTCCCTAGTCACTGGAACTACAGGCACTCGCCACCACGCCTGGCTAATTTTTTTCTCATTTTTGTAGAGACGGAGTCTCACTATTGCTCAGGTTGGTCTCAAACTCCCGAGCTCAAGTGATCCTCCCACCTCAGCCTCCCAGAGTGTTAGGATTACAGCCATGAGCCACCACGCTCAGCCTCATATTAACTATTTTTAACCTGTTATATTGTTTTGGTTAACAGAAACCATGTCTTACATGTCCCATTTATGTTTCAAAATGAAACAATTTTACTTTTTTCCATTGATTAAAGTAATACTTACATAACTAAACAGAAAGTTCAGGCAAGGTAGAAAATGGATAGTGAAGCGATTAAAAACCATGTGAGGAGCCCAGCATGGTGGCTCAAGCCTGTAACCCCAATGCTTTGGGAGAGCTCAAATGTTCCTGTTACCTTAGCCTTCTGAGGCCTTGGGATTACAGGTGGCTACCTGCACCTTACCACGCAGATTTTTAAAATACTTTTATGTGGCTGTTTTTCTTTCTCAATATCTTTTATCATTTCAGGGGAAGTGTTTGTTTTGACACCAAAATTTCCAATTTCTTTCCTTCCTGGTTGTTTATGAATACAAAAGTGACTACCAGCCTCAGCTATTACCTAGAAAAAACAGATGATTGTTGGTCAACCTGAGGATATGAGCTGCCTTTTATGGATTTTCTATATTGTCTATGTCTGTCTGTCTGTCTGTCTGTCTATCTATCTATCTATAGATATAGATCTATAGACTATATATAGATTGTTTTCCTTAAGAAAAATAACTTCCTTGTGAATTCAGACTATTGTGTATTTATCTTTGTTATCCCTGAAGAGGTTATGTAAGCCACTGAAGAATTATAGTATATATAATTTTTAAAACTTAAAAATTTGCAAAGCACCTAATATACTCTATTGATTTACTTAGATTTCTGATTATAGGAGGAGGCAGTGTTCAGTTATTCTTAACCAAAAAGAGAGGTATTTTACAAAAAATAATGTAAAATAAAACAGTTGAATCAAATATAGTTGTAGTCTCTTCCAAGTTAATCGGATTGTTTTTGTGGTTTTAGATGGAACAAGAGGCTGAGAGACGCAGACAGCCACAAATAAAGCAAGAGCCAGAATCAGAAGAAGAGCAAGAAGAAAAGCAAGAAAAAGAAGAAAAACGAGAAGAACCTGTAGAAGAAGAAGAAGAGCCAGAACAAAAGCCTTGTCTTAAGCCTACCCTGAGGCCGATCAGCTCTGCCCCATCTGTTTCTTCTGCTAGTGGCAATGCAACACCCAACACTCCTGGGGACGAGTCTCCCTGTGGTATTATTATTCCTCATGAAAACTCACCAGATCAACAACAACCTGAGGAGCATAGGCCAAAAATAGGACTAAGTCTTAAACTGGGTATGTTACCATTTTCTTTCTTCTTATCTTTTTTTCCCTCCCTGCAAATACCTATATTGTGCATTAAGGAAAAAAAAATATGTGGTGCTTGGTAGGTAGATAGAAAATTACTAAAAAATGCCTTTCTAGCTCACGATTGTTTTCATAGTTCTACTAGTGCTCCTATATCTGCAGCTGCCTCGAGTTCGAGAAGAAGTGAAAAGTTAAATTTTCTAGCACTTGTGAGTAGTGAGTTATTTTTTACAGTTGGGATCTTTCTCTGAGATTTGTGGAAGTATACTTTACACTGCTTTTGAGGGATGGTGGGATGTAAAATGTAACACTTGCAAATTAAGTTATCATGCTAAGAGAGTGTTTTTACTATAGGTGCTTCCAATAGTCCTGGTCAGCCTAATTCTGTGAAGAGAAAGAAACTACCAGTAGATAGTGTCTTCAACAAATTTGAGGATGAAGACAGTGATGATGTACCCCGAAAAAGGAAACTGGTTCCCTTGGATTATGGTGAAGATGATAAAAATGCTGCCAAAGGCACTGTGAACACTGAAGAAAAACGCAAGCACATTAAGAGTCTCATTGAGAAAATCCCTACAGCCAAACCTGAGCTCTTTGCTTATCCCCTTGATTGGTCTATTGTGGATTCTGTGAGTAGGAAATTATGTTTCATCATGTTATTGGGAGTGGTTTTGAATATGCCATGTAAACTCATTTGATTCTATTAATGACAAGTAAGTAGGGATAATCATCTTGACACCAAGTAAATGCCAAGGCCATGGAATACATATTATTGGGCCAATTTTGGGTTGTACTTGAAGCAAAGATTAGAAGCAAATAATTGCATCTTGAGGCATACTTGTCTTACTTTAACTTGTGAATGACCATACTATATTTTAACCTTAAGAAAAATTAGGAAGTTATAGTGTATAGACTTTAGTAAGCATAATAAAAAGCTGTAATTCTTTAATTCAGTAACTATGATTTGTTTTCCAGATACTGATGGAACGACGAATTAGACCATGGATTAATAAGAAAATCATAGAATATATAGGTGAAGAAGAAGCTACATTAGTTGACTTTGTTTGTTCTAAGGTTAGTCTTTTATTCTTTTTCCCAACATTTATTTTAAATTTTAAAATTTTAGACATTTTCTAAAATAACAAAAATCTTGCAAGGGCCAAGTCCCTGATATTATAGTTTCAATTAAGCGATTTATGGCTGCTTTAGTGTACCCTTCTACTCCGTTTCGGACTCCTTGCCACATGTTCTCATTTTCAAGGGTCAAGGGTAACAGAATTGCTAGCTACTGCCAATCAGGCTCTCTCTTCCTTCCGCTGAGAATGCTATGCCATGCTCTGCTTGTATTGGTTAGAATAATGATGAGGTTTTGTGGAGAAAGGTGATAGATAGCTTGTCTCATCAACTCCTTTATCAGTGTCCTATCCTTTGGACAGGAGCAAAATAGTTTCCATATCATAATAATGGTCAGGGCATATGGACTAATTACCATATGCCAGGCTTTGTTTATGGTTAGTACTGTCTTATCATTTTATAGAACTTTATTTTCTTTAAACCTCCTAACAACCTTTGGAAGTTAAAGTTACTAATGTGTCATACCCATTTTATACATAAAGAAATTGAGGGCCGGGCGTGGTGGCTCACGCCTGTAATCCTAGCACTTTGGGAGGCTGAGGCGGGCGGATTGCTCAAGGTCAGGAGTTCGAAACCAGCCTGAGCGAGACCCCGTCTCTACCAAAAATAGAAATAAATTAATTGACCAACTAAAAATATATATACAAAAAATTAGCCGGGCATGGTGGCGCATGCCTGTAGTCCCAGCTACTCGGGAGGCTGAGGCAGTAGGATCGCTGAGCCCCGGAGATTGAGGTTGCTGTGAGCCAGGCTGACGCCACGGCACTCACTCTAGCCTGGGCAACAAAGTGAGACTCTGTCTCAAAAAAAAAAAAGAAATTGAGGTTTAGGGAAAGATTTTGTCTTGGCCATGATTGTTTAGTAAGTAGGAGAGTCTAGCCTCTAAACCCCGGTTCTTAACCACCAAGATGTATCATATCCTTCCATTGTCTTCTGAAAGCATAGTCTTATCTTTAGTAAGACAGTTAACTACAGTAGAAGCACCATATTCCTATAAAGGTATAACTGTGCTGTTTTTCCACTAGTAAATGCTCTTTTAATAATATGAAGAGCAAATTTAGACTGACCTGTCCACTTGAAATTGTTGTAGCACTAAAACTTGTGTAAAAAAGATTTGGTTTAAAGTTGGAAGACAAGCCGGGCGCGGTGGCTGACGCCTGTAATCCTAGCTCTCTGGGAGGCTGAGGCGGGTGGATTGCTCGAGGTCAGGAGTTCGAAACCAGCCTGAGCAAGAGTGAGACCCCGTCTCTACTATAAATAGAAAGAAATTAATTGGCCAAATAATATATATAGAAAAAATTAGCCGGGCATGGTGGCGCATGCCTGTAGTCCCAGCCACTTGGGAGGCTGAGGCAGAAGGATTGCTTGAGCCCAGGAGATTGAGATTGCTGTGAGCTAGGCTGACACCACGGCACTCATTCTAGCCTAGGCAACAAAGCGAGACTTTTTTGAGACTCTGCCTCAAAAATAAATAAATAAATAAATAAAAATAAAAATAAAGTTGGAAGACAGATTATTTTGTAGCAATTACAATCCCAGGTTTTGGTGTTAAACTTTTACTGTAGAGCGAAATTCTGAGAGGTAAAATTTATAGAAAGGTTCCTCAAACAAAAGCAATTCCTGTACCAGTGTGAGGGTTTATACCTTAAAATTTCTTGACTATATTGGTATTTTTTGTTTATTTTAAATGTGACTATTGTTGTCTTTTAGGTTATGGCTCATAGTTCTCCTCAGAGCATTTTAGATGATGTTGCTATGGTAAGTTAGAGATTTTACTTATTAATATTAATAAATATATAAACAAACTCACTTTTGAATTTCATTTATTTTCTGTGTTGCTTCCAGAGTCTTTCTTTTTGTAGTCCTGAATTAAAATTTGAGTATTCATTAAGGAGGTTAAAGAAATCCACAGCAATGAGACTTCATTAATGGATGTTGCATGGAAAAAAAGGAAAAAGAAAAAAAAATTTAAAGAAAAAAAAAATCACAGCAAGATATCTGCTGTTACCTGGAACTTAAAATTAGGGTTTATTGGCTGGGCTAGGTGGCTCATACCTGTAATCCTAGCACTTTGGGAAGCTGAGGTGGGAGAATCATTTGAGCCCAGGAGTTTGAGACGCTGTCTCTATAAAAAATTAGAAAAATTAGCTAGGTGTGGTGGCATGTGCCTATAGTGCCAGCTACTCTGGAGGCTAAGACAGGAGGATGGCTTGAGCCCCAGGAGTTTGAGGTTGCAATAAGCTATGATGATGATGATGATGAAACTACACTCTAGCCTGGGCAATAGAGCAAGACCCTGTCTTAAAAAAGGAAACATAAAGGGTAGATCAGTCCAGATGATATCAAGGTGCAAAGTATAGCCACAGGAAATTCCTGGGTATTGGGCTAGGGATTGGAGAGAAATATTGGAGTGAGGTGCCGGAACACTCACTTGGTGGGAGGGAAAGTCTAGGTTACATATTGGCTAGATAGCTGCTGTTTGGAATGAAAATGGTAGTGTTCTGAGATCTTCCATGGAGATGGTTTTGTTTGTGTTTTTTTATAAGGGTAGAAACAGTGAAGATCCAGCAGCCTCTCTTGTAGAGACTAAGACATTGAGAGTGAGGGACTTCCTGAGAAGGCTCTAGCATTGTCAGGAGTTCTGAGGAATAGGTCAGGTTTTCTCTTAAGGTTAAGGTAAGAAAACTGGTTAGTTGTTGTTGGCTGTTATAAAATGGAATGCAGCAGTCCAAAGGGCAGAGTGAGAAGGTAGCAATGGAAAATGAGTCAGGGAGGAAGAGAAGTATTAAGCATTATACGAGATGATAGATTACTGGGAGAAAGTGAATTTTTAACTGCAGCAAGATGCAAAGGAGAGACATGGTGAGGTTTTTAGCTAAAATGAGGAGTTCCGAAGTCAAAATGTTTTGTGTCCAGTCACTCACTGTATGATGTCTAAAGCCAAATATCATTCCTTTTTCTGCTGCCCAGCCAAACTGATGCAGCTGTTGTTTAGAACTTGTAATAAAACATTTGTGAAAAATTCATTGCTTCAGAGGAAAGGAGAAATGTTTATAGGTCTCAATCTAAAAGATTGGCGTTCTTGATTTTGGCCACAGAGTTGCAGTCACAGATTTTTTATGCTAGTGTTCATCTGTTTTGATCTGTTGAAATATTTTGAGTTTAATTAGAGTCAATTGTTTTTGATTATTCTGGCTCATTCTTGTTCAGAAAAGGAGGAAATTTGAGCTAGTGTTGTCAAACAGCTCTGGTAAAAGCTCATGGTCCCTCTGAATATTTCTTGAATAAATGAGATTGAAGTTTTAGTCTGAGTACTATTTCACTCTTACTAAAAATTCTAACTTTCAAACTATGCCTTTCTTCATTTTACATAAATTAATGAACTTTGGTTGTATTTTGTGCCTGTATCTGTGTTATTTCTAAAGTATGACTTTCATATGAATTACTGCTGCAATACAATTCTCAAACTATAGTAAAATCTGGGTCATAGAAGTTGATTTAGTTCTTTAATTAATTGCCATCATTGATAAATTGGCAGAAATTATTCACAAAATAAAAATCTGACTTTTCTTTGGTACTTATTGAGCACTTACTGTGTAGGAGGCACTCAGTACATAATAGCTTTTAATTCCCACAGTGGTACCTAGTGTTTTGATGTAGCCAAATTTATAAGGGAATTGAGGCTCAGTAAGGTTAAGTAACCAACCAATGACATGTAGCTAATAAGAGGGAGAAGTGGAATTTGAACCTAAATAGTTTGACAAGAGATCTGGTTCTTTAAATTCCTATCCTAAACTGCCTCTATGAAGATCTGGTGACATTAAGCCACGCTTGTTAAGGCAGTGATACCCTGGAGCACAGTCACAGTTGCCTCCTTTAGAAGGGATAGTCCATTTCTCCTCGCAGCTGCCCTGGGATAGAGGGCCACGTGTGTGTGGGATGTGGGCAAGAGTGATGGGGACAGGAAGCACCTAACTCATTAATATATAGGAGGATAATTTCATTTTTTTCTCTTTTCTAGGTACTTGATGAAGAAGCAGAAGTTTTTATAGTGAAAATGTGGAGATTATTGATATATGAAACAGAAGCCAAGAAAATTGGTCTTGTGAAGTAAAACTCTTTTTACATTTAGAGTTCCTTTTCAGATTTCTTCTTTCGCACCCTTTAAAGGACTTTGGATTTTTCTTTGTCTTCAAAGACATTTGTGAGATCTGTAATTTTTTTTAATGTAGAAAATGTGAATTTTTTTGTCCTCCAATTTGTTGATGCTCTGTGTACTCCCTTGATTGTAAAGTCATCTGAATCCTTGGTTCTCTTTATACTCACCAGGTACAAATTACTGGTATGTTTTATAAGCCGCAGCTACTGTACACAGCCTATCTGATATAATCTTGTTCTGCTGATTTGTTCCTTGTAAATATTAAAATGACTCCCCAATTCTTTTGCAGAATTGCACTTAATATTGAACTGTACTGTATAAAAACCAACATGAACAATTTTAATTGATAGAATACCGGTCATATCTACTACCACCTCACTTCCCTTTGATTAGAAATGGCAAGCCCTCATAAAGTCGTGGAATTTAAAATTAGAATGCAAAAATTAGCAGACAATCCATTCCTATTGTATCTCTGTATGAATGTGTTTGTGTGAATGTATGTGTAAAAGTCTTTCTTTTCCCTTGTTTGCTTTGATGTGGGGTCCCTCAGACATTCCCTAATTAAAGAATAGAATCGTAAAGGAAAAATTGATACTGTGCCAATCCAAATGTCTGGTATGATTAGGTTATTGGTTTCCCAGAGCATGGTATTCTGTGGTGAGCAACAATCTGCTAACAGGATGGGGTTTCCCTGTTAATAGCTGGTGTCTTCAGCTTCTCTTTTAAAGGAGTGTGGATCATAGTGATTTTCCCTTCTAATTTCATTGCTCAGAAATAAGGAACATCCTAAAATCCTAGAGAGCTTTATTTAATGCATTTTTGCACTAATTGGCATAGTTTGATTTTGTTGTACTCCTTTATTGAAAAATCTTAATTGTAAAAGCGTAAGTGAAAATCCTTTTAAAAGCAGAAAAAAGATAACATGAGGCAAGTTTATAAACTAGAGGTTGACAAACATAAAAGGAATTCAGCTTGGCAATTTACAAAGTTTACATCTTATTTCTAAGAATAAAGTAAATCATTCAAGGTAGTTCCCAACCACTAATCTTTTGTTTTAATTTTTTTTCTATAGAGGGCTTATATCGTGAGTGTGTGTATACTACACACTTAGTTTTACATCTGCTCATCAAAGTGTAAAAATATACTGATGGTGTGCTTAGAGACATACCTTTCTTTATTATACATCAAAACTTCACCAGGGAACAGAATTACCTGAAAATGTTAACAAGTTTTAAGCAGTTTTTAAAACAAATTAGATGCAACTGTTTCCATGTCTGAGTATTTATTTAAAAGAAAGATAAAGATTGGCCTGTTAAAAAGCATAACTGTGAGCTTGAGTTACTAGATTTTTTTTTTAACACCTTGAGAGGACATTTGAAAACACTGTTCTTAACATCGAACCATGACATGGTTCCATTATGTAAATATTTCAAGTATTAAAAATGTATATATTTGATCTTGGGGACTCATCTTCTTTCAGAGTCTTGTAAATAAATGGCATCATGTTCTAATTGTGTGGTGCATACTAGAAAACTTGATAATATGGGCTGAATTTTTTTATAGACTTGATTTTTATGACTGTTGGTACCTGAGGGTCAAATAAGCTGTTTATCTTATTTTAGTTTAATCTATACAATCTATACATTGATAAAGAGGTATGGAAATACCTCTTTTTGGTGTTAAATTTTAAGTTCTGGTTTCTCAAAGGAAAATTTCAGAAAGATGCCACTTGAAATTTATAAATTTATTTACTAGCCTTTTCTCTGATTCACCTTCAGCCTGAGACCTTGTTTAAGCAATTTATTATATTAAGCCTCGCTGTCTTTTCTGAGCATACTGCACAGGTAGTGCTTCTGAAGCATCATATTAGGTTGCTTTTATTTAGCCAAGATCAGTATGAGGTTTATTTGGGTAAATTTAATTTCCCTTGCTGGTCTCTCCTGCTGCTGTTTCAACTATACATATCTTAAAGGACCCCTCTTAAAAACTGGAGACATCACTTATCTGAAACTCATAGACAGCATGTACCATATACCGTATAACACCTTCAGTGAGATTTGTGGCAGGACCCCTAATTTATACATTAACATTTCTGCAGCAAAGTGAGAACCATCACAGTAAGTAGGGTAAAGACCATTCAATTAATTGTTTAAAGCCATCTCAAATTAAGTTTTGTGACAAGATTAATGAAAAACCTTTGAATTTCCAGAGTTTCTTTTATTTCAGAATTGCATATAAAGAATTGGATGTATATAAACCGTCATATTCTAGTGTCTTGGGAAATACAGATAAGAAATTTCTATTAAATGCTTGAACTTTCTGAGCTGTCTTTACTACAAGTCCATAAGTCAGTTTCGGTTTGGAAACCTTACACAGTATGAATTAATATTGCCCAAAGTTGTTATAAAAACAACATGAAAGTCTTAAGAACTATTCTTTTTTTTTTTTGAGACAGAGTCTTGCTTGTTGACCAGGCTAGAGTGAGTGCCATGGCATCAGCCTAGCTCACAGCAACCTCAAACTCCTGGGCTCAAGCAATCCTTCTGCCTCAGAGGCCTTCTGCCTCCCGAGTAGCTGGGACTACAGGCATGCGCCACCATGCCCGGCTAATTTTATATATATATTAGTTGGCCAATTAATTTCTTTCTATTTATAGTAGAGACGGGGTCTCGCTCTTGCTCAGGCTGGTTTTGAACTCCTGACCTTGAGCAATCCGCCCGCCTCGGCCTCCCAAGAGCTAGGATTACAGGCGTGAGCCACAGCGCCCGGCCATTTTTTTGAAAAAAAATTTTAATGCAAAGAAATATAAGCAGGTATAAGTGTTTAGATGAGGCTTATTTACTCAACTCTTTCTAATAAGTTCTATGAATGTCCCCAATGAATACCTAAGAAACTGCCAAAATGTTTTGTCAAATTGGTGACAGATTTCTCCAGTTTATATTTCAGCCTTTTGTTAACAACATAAAATTGTCAGAAATCCTTTTGCTCAGCAAAATATGATGAGATTGATTTGCGAATGTTACTGGAGATCAAAGGATATGAGAACGAATTCCCAGCAGGCAAAGAAAACTGTAGGTGTCAAGGAGAAACCAAGGAAACGTTAAACCCAGGAGTTGTTAATATAATTATACTATAGACCAAACTTATAATTTTGTTACATGAACTTATGAATTTATGATTTTTTGATAAGCTGGTAGATATTTGTAATGTAATTATGGTAAAATATTGAAATATGTATCTATTTGAATGCTTTCATTTTCATCTTTAGTAGACAGATTGTAATTAGTAAGGAGTTCAGGAAAACCACTTGACATATGTACAAAATACTGCACGAATTATCAGATTTGTGGAAGGGATCTTAGGGATCACCTAGTCTTTTCAGCCCAGTGTAATCACTGCAATGTTCCCTGGGATCACCTAGTCTTTTCAGCCCAATGCAATCACTATAATGTTCCCTGCAGATGATTATGTAGAGGCCCCTATATATGGGATTCTAATTCATGGTCTAGCTTTGCACTATCACAAAGTAACCACTAATGACAAGTGATTTTAAATGCATTAAAATGAAATAAAATATAAAGCTCAGTTCTTTCAGTTGCATTAGCCACATTTCAAGTGTTCAAGAGTCATGTAGGCCGGGCACGATGGCTCATACCTGTAATCCTAGCATTCTGGGAGGCCAAGGTGGGAGGATTGCTTGAGCTCAGGAGTTCTTAGACTAGCCTGAGCAAGAACGAGACCCCATTTCTACTAAAAATAGAAATTAGCCAAACAACTAAAAAACAGAAAAAACTAGCCGGGCACTGTGGTGCATGCCTGTAGTCCAGCTGCGGCAGGAGGATTACTTGAGCCCCAGGAGTTTGATGCTACTGTGATGTAGGGTGACGCCTCGACACTCCAGCCCAGGCAAGAGAGTGAGACTGTCTCAAAAAAAAGTCATGTGTGACTATCATAGAAAATTTAGTTTTTATGTTGCACTATTTGAAGTGCTCAATGCACTTATGTTGCACTATTTAAGTGCTCAATAGCCATATCTAGCTAGTGGCTACAATATTGTACATTGCAGGTTATAGAACATGATTGCAGAAAGTTACAGTGGACGGTGCTGGTCTAGATTCTAATACAGACCTAAGGGTAGAGAAAGGTGCTTGTTAATAAAATACCAGCAGAGGCCGGGCGCAGTGGCTCACGCCTGTAATCCTAGCTCTTGGGAGACCGAGGCGGGTGGATTGCTCAAGGTCAGGAGTTTAAAACTAGCCTGAGCAAGAGCGAGACCCCGTCTCTACTATAAATAGAAAGAAATTAATTGGCCAACTGATATATATATATAAAAAATTAGCCGGGCATGGTGGTGCATGCCTGTAGTCCCAGCTAGTCGGGAGGCTGAGGCAGAAGGATCGCTCGAGCCCAGGAGTTTGAGGTTGCTGTGAGCTAGGCTGACGCCAAGGCACTCACTCTAGCCTGGACAACAAAGCGAGACTCTGTCTCAAAAAAAAAAAAAATAAAAATAAAATGCCAGCAGAGAATAATGGGTTTTTAGCAAATGTTTGTTGAAACAAAAATATTAAGTATAAATTTAAGAATAGTTCTAAAAAAAACTTTTCCTTTTTTTTTTTAATTTTTTTTTTTTTTAATTTTGGCATATTATGGGGGTACAGATTTTAAGGTTTCAATAAATGCCCATTTCCCCCCTCCCCCCACTTTTTTTTTTTTTAAACAAAAGCAAAATCTAGTGAGCACTTTACATTGTAGAATGCAATAACTATGAAGGTTCACTTTTTTTCCTGTCAGTTTTACAGTTTTGGTAAATGTACCTAGTTGAAGAGACTTGACTGATTGTTACTGAAGATGGAAAACCTACAGATATTAAAATTTCATTTTGTTCTGTATATTATTGAGGAAAGTCTTTAAATAAGGGGGTCTAAGTTCTTGATTGAGAAGGAAATTAGAATAAAATGGTGATAAACATAGAACTTAAGGCTAGAAATACAAAATAAGACAAAGCAGCCTTGATTTTAAGAAGGTTCTAATCTTAGGAATCCGATACTTGCAAAGAATTCAGGAGGTTATAAGATTCAGCTTATATGGCCAAGCACTGAGTCCTGATGACAATATTTAATCTCATATCAATACTACTTGCCTTTTATAGGGAACATGGCAATGACATTGTGTGTAAGTGAAGGCAAACTTTTTACGTGGAATTGTGAATGAATTGGATTGCCTTAGAGTCTTTAGTGTGAAGAACTGGCCTTTCTTTTCTGATTGATCAGGTCCTGACTTTACAAGTGATTTGATCCAGCCTCTTTAGTCCCTAACTACCCTGTCCCCCCAAGGGGAGAAGTCCAGCACTCTGAATTTCCCTTCCGCTTTTTCTTTCACCATTTACCACTGGGTTTTGCCATCATTTATTTTATCATTCACTTCTCCATTCCAGTTCCCAAGTTCCAAACCCTCTGGGGACCTTCAGTGCTATTTGGTCATTTTACTTGTAGCAGCTTTTGCTGTTTCTGAACCCTCAATGCCATAATAGGTATTGAAAAACTATTAACAGAATGACTAAAAGTCATCTATCTGATTTTCCCTTTCACTTCACAGATATCTGTCAGTCTTAACAAAAACTTAACTTGAAAAAAGTTATTAGGCACATTCTCTCCAGTTCTAGCTCTCCAGTTTATGGCAACATCCATTTTAAACTTTGGTAAGCGAGGATAGATACTCAATGCATCTTATCTAGAAGACCTCCCTCACCCCACTGGCTGTTTGCTAACCGCATTCTTTGGTTTCTTTTTTTTTGAGACAGAGTCGCACTTTGTTGCCCAGGCTAGAGTGAGTGCCATCGTGTCAGCCTCCCGAGTAGCTGGGACTACAGGCACGCGCCACCATGCCCGGCTAATTTTTTCTATATATATTAGTTGGCCAATTTCTTTCTTTTTTTTTTTTTTTTTTTTTGCATACTATTTCTGGACTGAATCTTTCTATTTTTAGTAGAGACAGGGTCTTGTTCTTGCTCAGGCTGGTTTTGAACTCCTGACCTCGAGCCATCCACCCGCCTCGGCCTCCCAGAGTGTTAGGATTACAGGCATGAGCCACTGCGCCCGGCCTCTTTGGTTTCTTGACCCTTGCTCAGATATTTCCATTACTTTCTTTCTGTCCTCAGTCTGGAACATGTTTTGAAGAACAACATAAAAATCGTGTGATCCTCCTTTCAACTACCCTACCAAAATTCCAGAAAGAGTATGTCATAGTACATGTGCCCTCCAAATTTCTTGAGGTCTCACTCAACCTATTTTATTTTGTACCTCATCATGCCACTGTCAACTGGTGACAACCTAAACAGGCTTTGTAAGAGACTACACTCTGGTTTGTCTTTTAGCACTGTGGACATTTGCTATCTGCATGGGACTTTTCCTTGATGTCTAGCATATCACTTTTGTCTTGTTCCTGTCTAGATTGCCTTTCCCATTGTCTCTGCTGGCTCTTCCTTGGCTACCTGGGTGTTCATATTCA